CTTCAAATGTCACACAAATGTAAATCTGTACAATTACCAGCACCATGTGTTGACATATTGCTATAGAGGTATACCAATTGGTGTTGTATAGACATTGCCAACTAGTTGGAGTTGAGTTAGCTATTTGAACTTCTTTTTAAACCTGGGAAAGAGAGACTGGGCTATTTAATGAAGTCCTAACATCTAGCCAATGTTTCCAATGGCTGTATGTCAACTCATTGACAGCAGAGACCTCTTGGAGTATCTTTCCTTCCCTTGAATTCATGAAAGATGAGCTTATTTTCCAATACAGCAAAAGATTTGGTGGAGGCCTAGCTAGACACAGAAAATACAAAGAAGCAGAAATTACCTTGTAAAGTATTAAAAATGGCAAAAAGATACAAGAAAAGGATCCTCACAGGTCCCCAGGCAAAAAAGGCAAACCCCCAGGTGAGGCCAAGTAAGAATGTTAGGCTTGTTGTGCTTTTGAGGTCATATAGGATCATCTTCTGCCGAGTCTTCTGGCTTTGGGATTTTATGGAATTCAGTTGAGCAAGAACAATGCAGAACATGGAGAAGTTAATGAGAAATATGAGGCAAAAATAAGCCACAACTGAGATGTAAAATAGAGAATTGTCTTTAATCCAACAACTGTAAGAGATAAAACAGAGAAGACCATTGTGAGGTAGAGAAATATAAACTCACATTTTTCAGTGAGACTCTAAAGATCCTCTAGTTGATTTCATTCCATCTGAGAATACCTAGTTAACAGACCTCACTCATACTCACAGGGGCAGAGCTGGAAATCAAATCTCAATCTCTTAAACCACAGTCCAGGTTTCTTTCCAGTGTTGAGCCAGAAATCCCAGAGGATTTTATGCCCTACATATAGAAACCTCTCAGTCCAATTCCCGACGAGGCGATTTTCTTCCTCAACAGCATAAAAACAAATGATGTATTTCCTCCACAAGTGGTCCTTCCCTCATACCTGAGCTTTCATTTGCAGGATAAATATCACAGTAAAAGGACATGAGCAATGAATGGCTTTTCTGAATGTTATATCAAACAGTGATGAGCTTATCAGAGTTAATGAAAATGCAACAAAAAGGAAACAGCTCTGGTTGTATTACTTTAAAGTAGGATGTATACTTTAAACTTCCCACCACAGCCCTACCGGATTTGGCTCAGTGGATAGCACATTGGACTGTGGACTGAAGGGCCCTGGGTTTGATTCCAGTCAAGGGCAACATGCCCAGGTTGCGGGCTCCATCCCCAGCAGAGGGTGTGCAGGAGGCAGCCAATCAATGATTCTCTACCATCATTGATGTTTCTATCTCTCTCTCTCTCTTCCTTCCTACCTGAAATAAATAAAAATATATTTTAAAAATAAATAAATAAACTTCCCACCACAGCTACCAGTTTGGTCTACAGAGGCAACAATAGTCACTGGGGTGATTAATGGCTCTACCATTTCTATTAAAAAATAAATATTTGGTGATTCATAAGAACAGATATTTCATATAATAAAATTTTCAATTACTGGTGGTATTACCTCTGATTTTTTAACATAGACAAGCTTCACTAATTTAACTATGTATCAAATTAGCTGAGACCTCTTTTTCAGAATCAGGAAATTCTCTTGTGCTTATATTATTCATGCTGGTGTGGATATTTTTTTGTGTGTGTGAGTTTGGGTATGTTTGTGTGTCTTGGGAGGGAGTGGGGGGAAACATTTAATTTCCCTAATAGAATCTAATACTTAAGCTTCCCTGAATATAATCTTCAACATTAAAGAAAGCTATAGAAACTCATAAAAGAGGCAGCACTATATGTTTGAATAGAAAATCATCTCCAAGACATATTGTTAAATAGCAAATAATGTTTATCTACCATTTGGTTAACAAAGTGTGCAAGAGAATATCTATACAAATTTGATTATAATAAGAGTTGCATCAAGGGTGAGAAACTGGGTAGTTGAGGCTGGAAGAGGGTTTTATTTTTCATCCTCTACCCTTTTGTACACTTGAATTTTGTGCCATATTCCTGTGTTGCTTCTTTAAAAAAATATATTTTAAAAGCTCTTAGAGCATTCTGCCTCTTACTAACCACTTCACATATGAAAGGGGTGTTTTCGGAGGTAGTGTTATTGATTTTGTTCTGGCTTTGCTTTTGCTTTTGTTCTTTGAAGAATAACCATTAGCTAGATAATTAGCTAGACTTTAAGTCACAAAACAGTCAAGGAAGGAAGATGGAGGATGAGATGAGAAGAGAAAGGGAAGAGAAAGAAAGGATATCAAGGAACTATGATTAGAAGGCATATGCTGGAAAGGGCAATAGAATTTTGACCTTCTGGAAACTGTCATCTCAATATGAAAAATGGAGGAGTCTGGGGGCGGGGGGCAAGGCCTCCTACTTTTGATTCCAGTCCAGTGAGAGAGAAAAATCTATAGTGAAAAAGTACTTGAGAGGCAACGCTAAAGAAAATGGATATGGGTAAGTAAATAAAATCAGAAATGAGACTTGCAGTCTAAAGGACTACATGGTAACTATCTACAGGCCTATAAAAGAAGGTTCTAGAGAGATAGAGCAAAGTAAATGGCTACTCTCTTGTGGCTATGCATGAAAGAATCAAAGAGATGGTTAGATAGATAGATAGATAGATAGA